TGGAGAGGATTATGGTGGAAGAATGGAATGCTATCCCAGTCAGCATTCTAATTAATTTAGTAGATTCCATGAAGCGATGTTGTGAAGAGGTTATTGAGAAGAAATATCTTATTAAATTTATATCAATAAAATCTACTCATTTCAAACTTTCATTTGACATATGCTATGTGCTGATGTGTGCAATATTGACAAAGCAACATGGCTTTCAAGTTTTCCAATTTTTTTTTCTTCACACTGTACATCAAGTGTCTAATATGATACACGGATACTACGAATACTGTGGCCACGATACGCTTTTGATTCAGATTTGGTGAATCCCTTTATGAGGTTGTTGCGACAAAAAAGCTATGTTTTCTGCTGCAGATGATTAATCATGTATTTTCAGAGTCTTGGCAGACGCGAAGTATCTGTTTATACTCAACTCATGCAGCATGCAAGCAAAATAAATACGACGGACCACGGATCAAACCTAAAAACACGCCGTTCCGAGTACCTCACACCGAAAAAGAAGACTCAAAAATCAGATGGGCTTGCAATGAATTGTGTATCGGATATTGTCTTTTCAATCAAAATAAAAGCCAATCACATTTTTGTCAAAGTCGCGAATCCGAGTAGATAACTCCTGGGCAATTCCAATTGTCCGGCGTAACTTCGGATATGATAACCACTCAACAAGTACTCAATGAAAATTTCTCACCTTGTTTAAAGTAAATCCAGAGTTTCGCAAGAATTATTTTAAACAGAGGGGTAAAACATTTGAGGAGAATAATAGTAAAGAGGTTGGTTGTGAGTTATGTTCTTGGAGCTTCACTGAGTAGTGAATAGGATATATTTAAGTCATGATGTAATGATAATGCTGTAATGTGGATACTGAGAGAGTATTGGTGAACGTTCGGTTCAGTTGCCGAACCAGCTGCCGCCACCAGTTGTGTGGTGAATAGGATACTTTTTAACCATTGAATTGAAAACACATCGTGGCCACAGCTTGCGAAAGTCGCCAGTCAGGTATCCAGCCCTGGCGTACGGTGGACGACCTACTGCTGAACGTTCTTCAATTGGTTTTGACTATGATGAAACATTTACTCATTAATGTTTCTTAACGTTAATTCTCAGGATGGAATTTGGAGATCGGGGTGTGGACAGACTATTCGTTAAGTGAATTGCAATATGCAACAAATATCGGTAAGATGTATTTACAACATAAAATTTAGAAGCTACATACAAAATACTATAAATTCTAAATTATTATTATTATTTATTATTATTATAAAGGTCAGGTACCAGTACAAGCACTAGCCACATGGACGTATTGGCATTGACCATGTGGCAAGAATCGTCTCTTTCCCCCGAAGTTTTTATTGAAATCGTCCAACGAGATGCTAATACCGAGTGTCACTATCGTGCAATCGTCATCCTCCCATTCAAAATCCTGATACGTCTCGGATACATCGAGTTGAATGTTATCTCCATTAGTGGATGACGCGCCGCTGTATTGATGGCCTCCTGTACGCACGGCCACAGTGATGTTGTTTTCTTTCGCATACTTGATGGCTTTGATCACATCGTCGTCGCTGCCTTTATAATGGCCGCCTGGTGAATGATCCCCTGTTTCAGGTACGAGCTCGAGGCATACTGATAGCCCTGAGCTTCGTAGTCAGCATCACTGCGTAAGGTTACCTTCCCATGGAATTTGGGGGAATTACCGTGTCAGCCATGTATGACTGCTGTTCGGTCTAATCATATTAATATAAGACTTCATAACGACTGATACTGATCTTGATTGGTCACAGTTGAGGATGCAATTCATTCTATTGTAGACGACGTTTATGTGGCTGAACGGGTCGCGCATGCCGATCTTTTAGAGATGGAATAAACGTACGTTCCGGTTTCGCTTGTAAGAGTTTTCGTTCCGTCTGCAATTTCTCTTCACGTTCTCGCTCCCTATTTTGTGAGAATTTGCTGGAGATCTTCGGTCATCTTTTGCTTCTGAGCAAGATTAGGATTTCAAACGCAGCGACGTTCTCTAACATGAGTATTGCCTTCATGATACTGTTCATCCTTTTTGGTCTCGCCAGAATCACCCAGAGTATTATCACGAACGTCCAAATTTATCTGACCCTAATCGATTGAGAAAGGGACATCGGTAAACCGTTTGCAATAGACAACGGGCTGGATAGGTAAAACCCAATTAAATACAAAGGCAACCCCGCCTCGTTATAACGAACACCGTTATACCAAATACCTCGTTATAATGAAGATTTTTTAAAATCCATTTTCAATCATATAGAATTTACCCAGTTAACCGAATTTTTATATGAAAACCTTTATTAACCGTATCCGAAGATTTTTATTAGAACAGTAATAACAAAGTTGCCCCGTTAAATTGAAGTTTTCGATTTAATATTAACCGAATTATCCAAAGATCTAACCAATAAAAATGCAACAAACATTACATACGTGATATATTTTGCCTGCCCCATGTTAATTACGTGATAAATTTCAAGTCACGAGCGTTTCAGCTTCAGCCCCACAATTATCGATTCAAAAGTTCAAACAAAAATTAATAGTTTTTTTGACAATTACTCAAGCGGTTGTAATATTCTATGCATTGATTAGCCACATGCGCGTTTATTTAGTATTTTCACTCTAATCCGAAGAATCCTATACATTAATATAACCTTCTGTTAACACGGCAGAATGCTCAAGAAATGACCTTGATTGAAAACAAGAATATAATTTGAAGATACCCGACTGACGTCACACATGAGGTGAATTTTTGAATGGGAGAATGCGAACCGAAGTTTGAAATGCTAGCTGCAAAGTGCGCTTTATTGAAATTAGGAATGGACATTACTTATTAAAATTTCATATTACACGGTGAACCTAGATGGGGTCCGTTCTGTCGCTATAGCAAATTTTCGTTAATTCAGGTTTCCTTTCGATCATGTAACCTTTGGTCTATGTATCACCGCAAATTTTGACAACAATTATTCGATTTATGACTATAGTTAGGATTTAAACGTTAAACAGCTCAAATTGCTAATATAGTAATTAGGATTCTAAAGGTTTGAACGTTTAAATGTGGGCTGAGAAATTTTCATATGATAAGAATTATGTCATGCATTATTGTTTACAATAATGGAGGATAGCTAAGCGCGAGCAACCGCATTGGTCAATCACATGTCAACCAATAAATTACAGAGTTTTAGTCACTATTACATAAAATAAGAAAGATCATCAAACAGTCGTTGTAGCAGGTAACCAGGTTTTCCCTAATAACTTCGTTGTATAGAATATTTATTATAGTCAAATTTCGTTATCGTTGTATCTAGGTTCACCGTGTACTACAATAAAATTCATTCAACGACGCGCGGCCAGCGAAAAGTTTGGAAACGTTTTCGATCGACGAATCCAAGTAATATCTCCCTTCTTAATCATATTCCTTTTGTTACGCAATTATAATATATGTCAGTTGTCGTTCTGACATAGTTTCTCTCCCTGTTCATTAGGTTGCCAGGAGGCCAGACTATCTCTGAACTCGTTTGTTCCACTAAAAAGGTAATCAGTTACACAACGGCGAAATCACATTATAATCAACTTTGGTTTTCAACAGCGCCAATCTTTCACTTAACCATGTCTGACGTTTGCAAAGATTTGCTGCGCTTGTTGGATAGCGAAAAAAATTACGACGTTGTTCTCCGCGTGGGTGAGGAAGGGCATACAAAAGAGTTTAAAGCACATTCGCTCATTCTTTGTGCGCGTTCAACTTATTTTGCTGCTGCTATCGATGGAAAATGGGCAAAGAAAGAAGACAACAAGTATATTGTAAACAAACCAAATGTGACTCCTGCCACTATGGATTTCATTCTGAGGTTTGTCGTCGCATAATAATAGAAAAACCGAGACTGCTTCATATTTATCCGACAGCGAATGTTTCTCTGTAGTGTAGTAATAGACAAGTGAAAAAGGATATTATATGTAACGCGTCGGATAAAAATCCTGTTATGACTGTTTTGCGAATACGCCTTAATTTCTACCATTAATTTATCGTTATCTAGATATTTGTATGGTGGCGTCACCGATTTTACCTCTCAACGTGCATCAGTTATTTTTGATGTATTGATTGCTACGGACGAGTTGGAATTGTTGGGGCTGTTAAATGATGTACAGCAGTACATTATAAAGAAAAAGGACGAATTCTTGACCGATAATCCAGTTAAAATTCTGAGAAAAATCTGGCTCCACGAAGCTTTTATTCCTTTACGCAATATTTGCATCGACATCATATGTAACAAACCCAGTATTCTGTTTGATAGTGATGAATTTTGCGAAATACCGGAATCCATTTTAGTGCATTTTCTTCAAAGAGATGACTTGGATTTACCAGAAGTAATCATCTGGCGCAGACTGCTAGAATGGGGCATAGCACAAAATCACGAATTGACGTCGACAAGCAGTGTTGACAGCTGGACGAAGGATGACTTTGTAAACCTGGAAAAAACGTTGCATCAATGTCTTCGTCATGTTAGATATTATACTTTTCAACCGCAAGAATTTTGTGAGAATGTCATGCCGTATAGAAAATTGCTACCTACAGATCTTAGGGAAGATGTCATTCGCTATTATATGATTCCAGAAAAGAATACGTCCCAACGGAAGCCTCGAATGAGCACGAAAATTTCCAAAACGAAAATCAACTCTCTCATTATAAAGGAAGTGCAGGTTGGCCTAATTTCCTCATGGATCGATGCAGTTAAATATGTTACGCATAAGGAATTTCGATACGAGTTATTACTCCGAGGTACAAGGGATGGCTTCGATAGTGCCAAATTCCATAATCTCTGTGACAATAAGGGGCCGACGCTAATTGTCTGTAAACCTAACTCGAGCAATGCAATCATTGGAGGTTACAATCCACTGAATTGGTCCAACAACGGAACATACGGGAACACCAACAAAAGTTTCTTGTTTTATATTATGAATATTCATAACCTTAGCTCCGCACAAATCGCTCATGTCACTAACAGCACGTACGCTGTGTATTATCATAGTTCGTATGGTCCATGTTTTGGCTGTGGAGACGACTTGGTTGCAAGCGGTACTAGTTGGTCATCAAGCTCTAATTGTTATCCCAATATAGGGATACCTGGTAGTTTTGCTATCCAAGAATATGAAGTTTTTAAAGTCATTATCTAAAAGAGTTGACTTACAGTGCGAATTCTTTCGGTTATCGCATCCTCCAGAGTAATAAAAATACAAAATTCGAATTGGTAACTTTGTCTTCTTTCAAATTATTAAAAGTCTGTAAAGGATCTGTCTCTATAGAATGTCAAAGTGTCCATGACAATCGATCTTTTCCAATAGAGGACTTGAATAAATGGTAAATGTGAGTCTTTGAAAAACTTGCTGGTAAAAAGTGCTTGAGAACGGATTATTGGCAACATAGACTGTATACTACACCAACGATAAATATTTCATATCGTTAAATGACCAATTTTGCACAAATCTCGCACGCGGGGTTACGTGTTTAATTGAGATAGTACATTCAAAAAGAGGAATTAGCATAGTGTGAGCGCAAGTCCTCGTGAAAAAAAATTTTTTAACGTAGCTGCCAAGGTTCATTATCCACTCGAGGCAAATACTCAAAGTTCTGAAGACAGCCATAGCCAAGTGAAAGAACAAACACTGAATTCGTAACCCTTGCTTAGTGAGACGCCCAGAATCTCGGTCATTCGCCTTTATGAAAAGTAATATTGAACTATTCAAATTTTTTTTTTAGATTAAGCTGCCATATTTAGACGAGCAGACAATTCTTGTTATTACCGCTGGTTTTCATAAATGTATTCTCACTGATTAACAGTTCCTTCACGTTCTAACAACACTTCCCCGCCACTTTCAATTGCATCTCCCAGTCTGTCATCCATGTTGAGAACGGAATTTGTTTCTTGATCAACCAAAATAAGTCTCTACAAATAATAAAGTTTGGGCAAACAAGTGTCATCAAAAATACAACAAACGTGCTAATAAATGACACTAATTACTCACCTCGTTCTTACTAACATCCATTTTGTTATTCACGTTTCTAATCTTACCAGCAGTAGCGATTTTATCAAGCACCTTTCCGATCACCCATGACTGTAGAATATAGATTATCACAATTAGATTTAAAAAATACTACAACCATCATGTGCATTCGCTTTACTAATATAACCCATAACCAAACATCTTTTTACCTTATCAAAAAACATAGGCTTGGTCGCAACATTCGTATCTTTAGGAAAACTAACATTCAGGTAAAGTCGTGATTCACGTGGAATTGAGGAGTCTCCCTATATTGAAAGTACTAACTCTGTGACATCTTTAAGTATTATAGCGTTAATGTATAAACAAATTAAAAGAGTTGAATTACCGTAGCCTTTGATTTCATTTTCATCAATTCAACGAGTTTACTAGATTTTTTTGGCTTATTATTGATTTTGGATGTCACTGCCGTACTACTAGAAGCACCTCTACTCGCATTATTCCGAATTTGTTTTAAAATCTCGTCTATCCTCGCACGACGCTCAGCTGTCTCTTTGGAGGCTGCATTTATCGACGGACATCTGTGATCAGTTGCGTGGCGATGTCTAATGCGTTATAGAAAATATCGTTTTAACATTAGAATTGACACGAATACTAGTTTTGAGTCTCCCATCGCCTTACTTTCCCCGTGGATACACCCCTTGACCATTTCCGACTCGATTTTTTTTCCCCCTCAGGAACGAACCTCAAACAAAATCCCTCTCCACATTCATCACACACGACAACAATCGGCACTTTCCCGCCAGTCGTAGTAGATTTGCATGAACTAACGGCACATCGTTTCGATTCGCGAGGGAAGGAAGATAAAAGGTATGATACACAATTAGAGGCTTGGTGCGATTTTAGCTTTGAATTGTCGTGAATTATGAAAGTAGACAAAGAGCATCATTTTTTAATAAAAATACACGGAATTGATTTCATATCGAGTGTACGTCGACTAACGCAAGCGATATAATATGAGTAGATATAGTACCGTTTCCTCTGTGGTCATTCCGCTCGGTGATAAAATCATAGATTTACATGTTGGACATAAGTCTACGCTCTGAATCGAGGTCGCCCGTCATTAAACGTTGCACTTAGTACCCACTTGCTCGGTCTGATTAAATATTGCATACCCTACAGCAGTCCACTCACCAATTGCTTCTCGTTCCAAGCCTGACATTCGTGTGCTGTTGGGTACCGATGATCTAGACTAGAGAGTGTAAAAATTGACGAATACTCAATTCACGATCTGACTCTCCAGTTCCATGTTCAACTGGTTCTCGCATTTTCTATCGTTAGACTAACCAATAATTCAGCCCACAGCATCCACATTTGAACGGCAGAAAGTCTCTTCAACGTGGTAAAATGAAATACAATTAGCTCAAAGCGTTAATGCGGTTATCGGATTTTACGCATATCGAATAATTACCAAGCTGTCCACATCCAGCAAGTGAGCAGTTTTTGCCCAGGTTGGGGAATTCCATTTCAAAACTATGGTATATATGCACGAGTTTGCGGATATACAAAAAATATTTAACTCGTGTAACATACGAGAGTAGATATTTACCACACTAAATAATAGTAATAGTAATGAGGTAGTTCGATATACAGAGCGCATAATTCAATAATGACGGGACGAAACTGTTGACTCTCTATATTTTTTACCTCGTCCATCGGCCCGATCAATTAATGCAAATATTTATTAGTTATTTGAGTTAGGACTAATAATTATCATAAGCAATAGCCAAGGTCATAGTCTGCGGTATCGGTCAGTTTGTTGAACGCGGTACGTGATCAGGACTGAGACCTTTGAATATCAAATTATCGCTTGGGTCAGTGCAAGTAGTATCGCGTTTCAACGTGCTATCGTTTTCAAGACCTGCATAAAATTACGATAGAAATTCTTTTACGTCTGTAGCAACGGTTATACCAATGATTATTTGATTTTACCTCGCGTACCCGTTTGATATTGCCATGAACACGTATTCGTTGCTAGGTGATTTCGAAGTGAGTGCGGCCAATTGAGATACGTTTTCTGACAAAGAGGCGTATTGCGGTTTCAATAATAAAAAGCTTTCTTATTAATATGCATTTTTTTAAGACGTCGCCTGGCAGATATTTTTCCATCATTTTATTGCTTTCAGTTGGACCGTTAAAATTGTATCTTGGAGGAAAGCTTGAAACGCCTCACGTAATTCAACAAACTTTTCCCTTGAAATTCCTTTTGAGCGACTACAATGACAGCCTTTTCTAAAAAGGAAATTATGTGTTTGTATTAGAAAAACCACCACCATTTTGCTATTTTTATATACATAGAACCCGATATATTAAGTTTATCACCGCTCAGTATTTTATTTCGTCATTTTTCATTTGTTATTTTTATCTTTTCGGCATCAAAATTATCCTCGCCATTAGTGTCACATGGATTTAGTTCATTTATAAATGAATCCTATACACATAACATTATCTCTGACAATAATGCCTGCGACGCTTTGCTTTTTTGTGCAGGATTTTCGAGATCTAATCCGTCCCGGCCATCTTTCAATGACAATGAGTGTTTTGTTGGTAAACCTTCACCAAGCTCTTGCAGATATCCCACAGATATCACGGTTTTGTAAAATGTAACTTAACTCAAGTAATACGAGTTGGCTTGTATACTCGTCTTTGTTGTCATCAATCACACTCGCGCAACTTGGCACCTCTGCAGCAAGTTGCATTTCCTCAAATCTCGTTATTACGTGAATGTTTTTTAAATGCTGTCTTATTGAAAGCAGAGTACAAAATATGTGCGGCCTCGGCAAACGCAGCAAGACAGCACCAACCTCGATAACCACCACAGCGCGGGTTTCCTTCTTAACGACAAAACTCGGAAACTGCCTACACGCAAGGCTCACCATCAATAAACGGATTGTATTGCTAATTTGATGATAATTTTGAGCGTATCAGAAAAAGACTCGTAGTAGAGGCTGTGTATATTTGATGTAGTTTTTGCCTTATAAATTCAGAGGCTAATGTGTTACAGATGTGGGTTCACAAACCCAATGGTCTATTTTGGGTACAAGCAGTTATGATTTGTTGTTGTAATATATTTAGTCATTTATTAATAAACTATTAGGTCTTATTACTTTAAAGAAATTAAGTATGCTAATATCATAAATTAGAGATTATTACTTGTACGTTAACGAAGCATATTTCTAATACTTATTCTTAATAGGCGAGGAATAAATGCGCCTTTTTTTTTTCACGCAAAGCCCACGAGAACGTGCTCGCATCAATATAAATCAGCACCAAAGACAACTTTCGGGGAAAATGTATGTTACATATCTGTCAGTAGTATATGACCATTTACCGTAATGAAATGCGCATATTCTTATGCTCCCGAACGTTTCTGCACTAGTTCGAACGACTGTCGCCCACTTTGGCAAATCTCCTCTCAAAGTTGATAAACAGTATGGCATAGTTTCATATTAACAAGCCTTTCGCTATAACTGACGCTCGCCAGGCGTCTTTGGGATTCTTTGTGCAAGTTACAAAAGACAAAAAAATCACATAACGTAATAGTAAGTCTGCATCGGAATCGTATAAACCGCGTAAACACTTGTACGATCGTTCGCACGACTCGGGAACTAGATCCACGCGCACTATTCTTGTAAGATTAACCATAGTTTTTAGTAATCCCGATATTAAAATCATGAAAGCGCTATACGTTTAGCATCCCTTTATTCCTCAATAAAGTTTGGTTAAATAAACCTTTAATTTGAGCAAGCGGAGGATGGCGAGGTTTTTTGTTGATCACAAAAAAGCTGTTTGCACATGACCAAAAATTCATGAGAACAGGAAACCGCAAAATAGCAAAGAAATTTTTATTTTTTTTTCTCGAGCTATCGAGAATTGGATTCTCGAACCTGACTGTGGGTGGGAGCGCGTGCGTAAGGTAACGTCACTTGTTTTCTTGCTCCTGATTCCCAAGCCACTGGTAATGTCATATGTTTCACTTTGACATTTTATATATATTCCTTACGCCTTATCAAAAATCGGCTGATGTATTATGGATCACCAGTCCAGTCGTTGTCTCTCCTTTTTTTCCCACCAGATTAACGGCCAATGCCTGAACTGACTCATAGCCGATCACACTTATTTGTCACACGGATTAAGAAGTACATTTTGAGTTAGACTAAAATATATCTACATTAGTAAAAATTATGAACGGGTAAATAGGAATGAAACTTAACTTTTGAAGACATCAATACGGCCGAACATTTTGCAGACCATGCCTAATATGAGTGTTATTATTACATCAAATGCGTAATTGTGCATTATCAACTTGCGGTATTTTGAGCTACAGGTTTTATTACCAAATACATCGATTTTTCTTTTCGGAGGTTTGGATTCCCTCGGTTTATTGCCTTTCGCTCGTCAATGGTATTGTAAAATGGAACTATAAATAGAAATTCATGTCGGAAACCGTGCAATGGTCCATATCGATAATTGTAGCATATTTGTAACGGTTTGTCATTCTGTTCGGTGTTGGCCGTTATCGCAAACACGGACCGCAAACTATGGAAATCGTACTAGATAAGAACAAACATTTGAAAATACCAAAGAGTATGAAAAAAATATAGGTGTCATTAATAGGTTTTTACAGAATTAACATTGTACAACCATAAGCAATATTTTCGCATGTTTTTTAAATTCGACATTTTTTTCAAACCCGATGTTCGTATTCACAATGTCTACAACATACTTTGTAACAGATCGGCTTGTACAATTTTGGTCAAGTAATTTAGCACAATTCTATTTTTATAATCTTTCTTCAAACAATTGTAGCCTTTAATTCTAACAGTATTTTTGTGAGATTTGTTCCAATACTTTGCTTAAGCCGACCTCTCACTCTAACTGCTTTTTGTATATTAATTTATCTACCTATCTACGTATTGGTAACGTTATTCGATTTCTTTTTTCATCTTGCCATTTTTGTTTTAATAGTATGCGCGTTTACCAAAAACGTTTAATCGCTGCTCAGCCTTTAACTTTTTAGTAAAAATTTGGATTGCCGAACATCTTGCAAAACAAAGCTTATTATTATTTGCAAACAAGACAATGTACTGTATATTTAAAAAAAATCCCAATGTTGACGTCTCGATCTGACGTATTGCTAATAACCTAAACATATGGAAAAATTTTGTTGTCTGTAAACGCGATAAAACGTTACGCTTTCTAAATTTGCGGTAAACGTATTCCATAATTTGAGCCAATGTTTTGACCGAATTTACACAAAAGAGACAGTAGATAATAATTTATTTATGCTATGTAGATGTAATAACTTTTCAGAAAAAAAAAGATACCTTTTACTTTATTACGGTTGCATAACCATGTGAGCTGTAAATTTATATTCCAGACTTCACTGTTTATTCACGAGGTATTTGCACGTGTGTTGTAATTGCACGATAAATTGAGAGTAGAGTTGCGAAAAGTCTAACCGCCATGTGTCAATAAACTCACGCGGGCGGTAGAACCCTTGAGAAAGAAAAACGAGCGAATTTTGCGGAAGCGACAATCATTGGATACAATCTTCAGTTGCAATCATTTGATGAATACACTTTTTGTGATCTGAAATAAGCAATACCCGGAAAGATGATCATCTTTGGCATCTGTGAAGATAGGCTTTGGCCGATTTAGAAAAATATCACTCAGAATAAATTAGCCATCGACAGAACAATTGTTTGGATGCGCTCTGGAATTGTAAATATTAGATGCTACGATCGATAAGTTGATATCATATTGGTGAGCGCGCATTACTTTTTTTTCCCCTACATGTGGATCTCACTTATAATACAATATTAGGCTGCATTTTTATCTGCAACGAAGGATGGTATAGATCAGCTGGGATTATAAGCGTTTGCACTTTCAAGATTAACGGTTTGAAGACTGGCAACGACCTTGCAATAATTATCGCTCAAATCATAGATTGTTCGTGATACGCGAACGGTTCTTTTATTGTCGAATTGTTTAATACATGTTTATTTCAAAAATAGCATTATTCCTACACGTAGCGCAGTTGTTGCTTTGCAGCACCTGATCAACATCCAGCTAAAAAAGGGGAAGGGTGAAACGGGCGATGGGCGATGGGCGGGGGGAAAAAAGTACATCATTAATGACATCTTTTCTTTTGAATTTCAAAAAGGAGTAAGAGTACAAGTGAGAAATTGATGGAGATTGTGAAAAAACAACCGATCAATGAAAACCAATCAACGTTCTTGAGAATTAACAGAACAACTAATGAATTGCCTTTATTACATCCATTCATGGCAAATTAGTGACGTTGTCTTATCAATTATACATATTTGTGGAGTTTTTCCGTATTTGAACTTTGATGCGTGAGTAAAAAAATAAAAGACCGCTTTGGGGAGAGGGGGCAGAGTGGGGATCTGATAATCATTGATAAAATGTGCAGATGGGGGGTTGATTGGAATGATGGAAATCGGTAACACGTATTGTATAAGTATAAATAGATGATAAAATGTGTATTTGTGTAACGTGTTACGGGCTGATTAAAATGTGATATAGAATTCGGAAATGACGGAATGGGTGAATATCACTTAGCGCACAACATATTTTATTATTGATGTTATTTGGTTTGTATTCGTCAATTGCATATGCATGTTTATCTGGAATGATCAATACATTCGTTCTTTTTTTTTCTATTTAATAATGATAACTCAAATTGAGATGCGTGACTCAATAAGGCATATCTATATTCTGCGATGGGTTTGAGTAACCTGCTGTGCGTTATCTGTTCCAAGGTAGGCGACTAATCATTCCTAATATATGCAATATTGTATAAATGTTCCTGATACAAGTAACTTAAAGAGTTGATCAGATGATCGCTGGCCGTTGCCAGTGTATACACATACTGTAGAACCACTTGACTAATAATAATGCGTGCATACATGCAAAAATAGTCTTGCTGGGTCTGCATCCATACCCGTCGTAATAATAACCCAACGCTCGCTATTGTCACGGGTTACTTTTTAGTTTCACACATTATATAAGCCGCAGCATATTTATTTTTCTTTATTCTTACTTTCTTTTTTTTTTTTCATAGACATGTGCATATATCGATTGCCATGTGCATGTGCTCGTATATGGAGAACGGAGCTATAATAACATAATATGACTTTTTTGCATTCAATGTGAGTTACATTGTTATTAGAACAACAGAATAAGGGAGACATCGAAAATCGTTATTTTATTGAGGTCATGTGCTACAGTATCGTTATTATCACATAATTTATATTGTCTGTATTTATTTATTTGGCATTTCCTATATTTAATCATATCGATGTCACGTCAATTTCAACGATCAAGATAAGTCTCAACCAATCAAAACTATGTAAATAAACAATTAATAACATAAATAACAAGTCGTACGAAATAGATTATACATTAAACATACAATTTAGAATACACCAATATAAATTATTACATGTGCCATATATAAATACCTTAAAAATCAGAGTTATCGTTATCAGTGCAGGCGATTTTTTTTCCTCAACTTTTTCCCTTTGGTGTTAGTCAAATAAAAACTACAAACAAAAAACCTTCTCTAGCATTTCCTCAGCCAAGGAAACACATAATTAGTCTTTTGATAGGACGTCCAATACCAGAATTCAGTAAAATACCCGAAAAACACCTCTACAAAAGAGTATATATAAGCATACACTCACCTAATTCGTTTTCTTTTAGTAAGCAGAAGCAAGCAAGCGACAAGCAACAACTGACAAGCAACAACCATAACAACAATAACAACAATAACAACAAAGGAAACAACTGTACATATTCAAACAATACATAATATATCTCGACTAGCCAACCACTAAATATTGTTATGAGTCTTTGGCAACAAAATTACTCTCGGTTTAGCACTTCGTACCTACCGGGACGGCACCACCACGACTTGGACATACTAAACAACTCTTCGCTTAATTTTGCTCGTCCTGAATCTCCGCTCGCTTCTCATACCGCTCAGACTGCTGTCGCCAGAAAAGAGCTTAGAGAACAACCAAGACTAAAAATTGATACCAACATATACAATGCCTCGCCCTCACAATACGTGCGTCGATGGCACCATAACGGAAACAAGATTATCAACAACAACAAGAATAACAGCAACAACAACGGTAACAACAAGGGCAATAACAGTAACAACAAGGGCAACAGAAATGATGGAAATTCAGGAGTAAAACCAACCAGTTTTGATAAAGACCCTTCACAAGCTGTTGGCATACTTAATCCTAGTGCTGTCCATACCCCTCCCAATTGTGAACCAAAAGCATGGTGGCCGCAACAGCAGTCACAAGAACACAAGGTGTGCCATTTACAAGAAGACGATTTAACACGCGCTCATATCAAACGTCACAAAATATCCCACGCACTATTGGATAAATACAAGGGAGAACAATTGAAACCGGGTGTCCATGCCGTGAGGTTTGCAATTGACATGCCGACTGACGAGTCGATACAATCCTCTAATTCATATGCAACATCGCCACAAGACATCGAGTCTAATCGTCAAATGCAATCGCAAGAATTACGCATAAACAACTCTCCGTTTATAAGACGCGCATCAGCGACCGAGCAAGGGTCTTATGCCTATTTCTCGGCTCCTGCAAATACCAATCCCCTCTTATCCGTCACTTTCCATAATCCAGCCGATGATAATAGACATGCATTGAGAGGTGCGCTTAATGGCGAAGGTTTTAATGAAATAGGCATGAGTAGCGATAAACAAGCAGCTGGAAACATGTGTTCTAGCAGCAACATGATGAATGCGACTCCATCTCTTTCCCCATGCTCTTCCACATCCTCTCTAAACTCTACAGGTGCTCTGACACCGGCAACCGCCATGATGGACAAATCTCATGACGCCTACTCCGAATCCCCGTACCAAGATTCTCTATACTCTAGCTCACCTTCAAACATTTCCTCTCGATCATCTCCATTCCTTACGACATCGTATCTCCCACAGGGCTTTCAAACTAACCCGTTTACCGAAAACGCGACAAATACAAACGCGACAAATACAAACGCGCTAGCATCGTCCCACTCGTCCGTCAGACCAAAAGCAAAATCAATCAGCGTCGAAAATCCATCCACGGATCGACGCAGGGCGGTACATCATTCATTCTCTTGCCCCGGCGTTACGCGCGATTCTTATTCGTCTGTCCCATGGTCTCCGGCTGTCTCTTTCCTGGCCAACTTGGCCGACGCAACGGTCAAGACTCCTCTTCCTGACGACGAAGGACAACAGGTTAGAGAATACATTCTCGGAAAAGTCATTGGTCGCGGAGGATTTTCTACCGTTCGAGAGGCATACGACGGAATGGACAAGCTCGCCGTCAAGATTGTGAAAAACAATCCCGAAAATCCAGACAACGATCGTATTCAAACACTCTTGGAACGCGAGGTTACAATCTGGCGTGCGTTGGATCATCCGAACGTGGTGAAGATGATATCCGTTGAGGAGACCGATTACGCTACTTTTGTGTTTGCCGAATACTGTTCGGGAGGTACTTTGTTGAACTACATAAAGTCGTTTGACAATAACAGGCCTGGAATACCCGAATCGATGGCGCATGAAATATTCAAACAAATAGCGTCTTCTGTTCGATATTTGCACAAGGACATGAGGTTGGTCCACAAGGACATCAAACTCGACAATATTCTACACTACGGAGATGGTATATGGAAGCTAGGCGATTTCGGTTTGACCGAGTTTCAAAATGCGGGTGCCAATGGGTTTAGCAATGTTTCAGATGATAAAAGCGATCCAGCCGGTGGTTCTTTGGCCTATTGTTCACCTGAACAATTGAGGTCAAAGACCTCTATTCGTGATCCTAAATCGGACATCTGGAGCTTGGGTGTTGTGTTGTATGCGATGCTGACAGGTCAGCTTCCGTTTAATGATGCTTTCCAGCCGAGATTGCAATTCAAAATCCTCAACGGTAGATATGACGAGAGTTTACTAGATGATGCGAACGTGTCTGAGGATTGTAAAGATTTGTTAAGGAGAATGTTCAAGCCAAAGCCGGAGCAGAGAATCGATATTACCGAGGTGATGAACAGCCGTTGGTACTTACGAGCGCATTGAGATAGAGTTTGGGTTGTCGTCAACCATGGACGGAACAATATACTTTTTCATCCCCCCCCCCCCCCTTTTTTTTTTTTGTTTTTGCACCTCTTTATATATTTCTTGTAAATTCTTTTATATATCACCCAAGCATGTCCGGACTATTATTACATATACATATATATATAGTATGAACGATATTATTTTTGCAACTAGGTGTGTGGACGTGTCTTGTGGTCTTATTATATCTTTTATACTTTTTTTTCTAATAGGAGAGAGAGGATGATGCATTTCCCGTCCTACTCTGTAATGTTGAGCCCCAATTCGGTCTTTTTACCATTCCCTTCACACTTGTAATTTAACCTACTTTCGTGTATATTTTTCTACCCTTAAACTTTCTCTTCTTATTGATATACATTATTATTATATTTTCTTTTTACTTTCTCTTCGCTCTTTCTCTCTCTCTTACCATCTAACTAATATCAAATTATGCTTACGCATTTTAACGATTCTTTGTGAGAGCCTAGACAGTTGTGTAATAGTCACAAGAATCCAAATACAAAAAAGTACAAATAAATTTTATGATTTGGAAAAGATCAATGAAAAAATAACAGAAAGACCCATCATTGGTCTATTATGAATGATATTTTTGTTCACATTTTTTTGTTGCATTGTAATTCCGTTACACAGCAAAATTTCCAGGGTAACTTAATAATAACTAACAGGAACAGTTTGTAATGATTATATAATTTGATTTTTCGTATGTCAGGATTTATGAATTGCATGCCAAGTTTGGTAATTTTACATCCAAATTTAGGAATTTAGGACTAATTTTTTTTACTGCGGAATAAGATTCTGGATGTTAAAAAATTTAGTTTAGTTTAAACTTTATATTAGGCAATCTTCTTTTAATAGCCGTCATTAACGCGAGATCTCACGGACAAGTCTCGGCCGGACATTGGTCGAAAATGTCACTATTTGTAATTTTCACAAGGTTTTACTAAAAATTCGATAATGTACAATGCTGTGAACCGTTACAATGTCGGTCAGGTGTAATCAACATGTTGTGAAATGCCGAACTTTTTGTGTATGATGCCATTTTGAGGCATATGCTCAGGGTTGATACTTTGGAAAGAAAGAACCAACAAAGACCATTAATACCAATATTGTTTGGCATACAATATAGTTTAAGGAGACGGCAAAATATGTTCCAGAAAATCGTTTATCTTTTCTAAATATATCGTCATGATAACGACGACACAATTGATAACAAGCAAACTAAAGTGAGATTAATTACGTCATAATTTTTATTCTTTATTCATTAAAATCGATAAGCGTGCCAAGGAGGGGGGGGGGGGGATAATCTTTTAAAATCGGGCATTCCCAATCCCAAATCGAGTGTACCCGTAATTACAAGAATATAAGAAAAAAAGGGCACAGAACGGAGAGAGGAGGGTGGGGAGGTTTGTTTTGTTTTGTTAATAATCACTGCGGTTTGCTGTAATTCACGGATATAAATTGAATCACAATGTTGTATAATTTACCCGTTTTAAAACAACAAACGCAGCAGTTTCTGCGCATCGATCATCATTACCATTTATATCGGTGTCAAATGCTAATGGTTCCCATTATAGTAACAAAAACGTCATTATTGTCATGAAAAAGTTGAAGGCGAACGGACAATGGCTGAAACAATTGGCCGGAACGTGAAAAGGAAACGGTAAAACTTGGGAGAATGTAATGAGCAATTATTATTATTCGGGCTGGCTGATGTGATGTATGCTTGTTTATTATTATACATTAGCACAGTATTATGAACTGTCATGAGAATGTTAACTATAACTCTTTGTCTCTGTATATCTACTGTACATGATATTTCTTTTAAACGTAAAGTATATACACCACTACTTTTATGCATTAAAAAGCTCTCAAACTTTCACGTTGGTTCTGCAACCGTAAAGAGTCACATAAATTTGTCTACATTGGATGTATTTTGATAAGGTAGTAGTAGTCTTTGTCAATGACTTGTACAGATGTCGATTTAAAGTCAACGTCTCGTTGTGATAATTTTTCTCCAACTTGGCAGTCTTTCGAAAATGTTTACGAATATTACATAAATACGTTAATCGGTGACATAACTCTATATTATTAACAGTTATTGCAATGTTTATCACTCGTTTTTTGCTTATAAAACAATGAGTTATCGGATTATACGCTTGAAATGTTCCCGAATTTTATCGCTTTACATAAACGTAATGGTGCAAAACTGCAACACGGCATACTTTTAAATCCAACACAACTCAAGCGTTCCATTCATCAGTATTGAAGCAAGGTTAAATATTCACGTTTCAAAGGAAATAAATGTTTCTAATAATTGATACAATTAGGCTATGACTAGGCGAGTGATATAAAAGTACCATTATTGCTTATGCTTCAGAATCGGGAAGAATACGGTTCGTAAATTCTCATAGCTCTTTATATTTATAGACTATGATTCCAGTAGTTGTCCACAAATGAAACGAATACAACGTTTAATTCGAGCGTTACGAGTTGAGTTGTCTATCGACGTGAACGATGTTAGTATGTGAATAATGCAGCTTTTTACATGCTAAAACAAACTGACAAATTAAAATTCATACCCGTCCACATCATTCAAGAATAAAAGAGCGAACCATAAATTTAGTTGATTGCGTATTAGCTCTAACGGCTAATAATCATTGACCCCCAAATCCAACACTTATAACAACACACATCGATCCTAGCGAAATATTTGATAAGAAAACGATCAATGATACGTATGCAGCAAAAGATTGCTTCCTAAGTCGTAATTTATCAATGACAGCTTTTTGAGAACGATATCTTACGACAGAGTTCAAATACAGAGTCGACTGTTATTATTGTGTACAGTCTTTAAATTGGCATCGGCTTTACTATACCTTCGAGATTGCTGTGAGTAAAAGTTCCTCGCGATCTACTATACCTTCAACAGTACCAATTACTATGTCAGACTCGGATAAATTCTCTTCAGATTACTTTCAATTTCAGCTTGAGTGCGCAACATGTCATCTTTATGAAAAGCACGTTTAAGTCTCTCCATATAAATAGACGTTCGCTTTCCTGGGCTTTTGGCCTGGCCTACTACAAAAGCCCATACTTTTACATTTTGACAAGTCTAAAATCTAATATACTGATATACAACTACCTAGGCAAAAGTATCGGATTCAAAATTTTAACAAATAGTTAATACTGAGTCAGCCAGCCATGATTCCATCATACTTTTAATTAAATTTAACCGTTGGTAACAGTAAGTGAGAATATAAATTAAGGTCATGCAAATAGTTGTCGTAGAAGCGTTCTTATGTTTAGTTTTTTTGCTGTAATTATTGTCAACACTTTGTTATAATGTTTCTTGATGTTTAAGCAACCAAAGTTTTGGACGGCCATTTCGTGATTAGGTTGCAACACCTTTTCTTTTATAAAATTTTGGATAGCCAAAAGTTTTGATATGTTGATTTCTGTATATAGTTTTGAAGAAACCAATGATTTGACCACGTTAAGTTTTAGTTAATTAAGATTACAAGTTGAAGATTCAGACTTACAATAAGAAATAAAAAATAGGGAAGAAATGCTGTAAACAATATTATGATGCTTCCTAAAACAATCTGCTTCATAATAATTACCCATAATAGCTACAAAAGTATCATTTTTTTAAAGTACGTTACAGCAATAAAATAGCGATTTACGTACTCCTATCAGCCCTTTTTTAAACTTGCTCGATAACTCGGACGACATATGTATATAAACTCTCGTTAAGTTGTAAGTTGGATTAAACAAAGATTTGCAGACAACTTTTACTGTTGTTCAAAAACATTTTGTCGTCTTCATTAGCAATCATTTGACGATAAAGACCCGTCTTGTAATTTAAAAAAAGTATTTATCTCATACATTGTACGGATTTTGCGCGACAAAATAGACACGAAATAATTTACCATGGTGCTGCATTGCTTGCCGCACAACCATTTTATTTGTAAATTTACATTAAAACATATCAACTTGTCACCATCTTGAAAGCTGCGATATGAGATATTCGTGTAGCACTTGACAAACTAGACAATTATTGATTTTAAAGATCATTTACGAACGGCAATTTTTGTATCAATTCTATTTTACAGTCCCTTTTTCTATAAAAAAAATTATGGGGAGGGCATTAAGATCGAATAACAATTTAACGGATGTTGCGTGCATCTACTATAAGATGTGCTAGTTTATCAACTCTCAACATCAAAAGTTATACACGACTCAATAAAATTTTAACTTAATAAAAACTTTTAACTTTGCCAGATTATCCCTGTCTACCTTATTATTATATCATATACATACACGTGGGGTAAAAAAGGATTACGGAATTACAAGGATCAACCAGCAAATTTGTTTAAAAAATCTGTATCATAATAATAATAACTCAATCTCACTTGTTGACCATAAAACGCCGCAAGCCACGAATATTTAAATTATATCTATCAAATTAGGTCAGACCGTTAGAATGCCGGTCTACAACTTATCCAAAAAAAAAAAGTTTTTTTGCGAGGTAGGTGGTATGTTTGGATACTTGTCTTGCTGAAACCGCCTTTCGTCGCCTACGTACGTAACAAGTCTTGTTGTCTCCGGAGTATGTTTATTATTTTATGAAAAAGAGTACAAAATTGTCTTATTTCTTATTTAAAAACCTCCCCAAGCGAAGAACTCTTTTTCGACCCTTTAACAATTAGTTAACGGTTCCAGATTGTTCGAGTTTTTAGTGTTATCATAAACTATGCTATGGAATAATTTTGCGCGCTTATGAACCTCCGCATCATTTCTAATCCACACTTGTATAAATTAATAATTAACGTATTGTCTGGAAGTCATTGTTCTAATCTCGGAAACGTAAAGGGATAAGAATAATATCAGTGAAAAATACATATAACAAGCAGTCGAAATAAAACCGACATGACATTGTTTAAATTGACCCAAAATAATGAAGATATTTCGATTGAATGTTACAGAAACGAATCCAGGCTTTTTTACACTATATGATAAGTCAACTATCTACTACCAGTTCTAAGACCATAGAATTCCCAGTTAATCAATGTACTTTACTGCTCATGTTGATTGTGAACATGAAGGCATTCTTTATTACTATTCGATTAAAATCTTGTCCGTCAATCTCTTTCTGTAGTTTGAGCATGATTCAACATTTCTTCTGGTGTGCATTATGGCCAGTTTTTCAAAAAATGAAATTATGACACTAGGCAAATCCAAAAATTTGTAATAGTTTCCTGGGAAGTTTCAATTAACTGTAAAAAAAAATATATTGCATGGATTATCGGGCAATTTAAATTAAAAATGGGTCTACTTATTTCAGGTTTAAATGATATTGTCATCCCCAAATACTGTAATTTCAACTTCCTGGTTAATTTGATATTCTGATCTGAATAAGACATAAGATGACCGTTATCAACTGCATTATTAGCATATTGCATTAATATTATTATTTCTGCCAGTGGGGGGTGTTGTGATTTCATAAACTTAGACGCAATAGATATCACGAATTACTTGCCGAGATTGCAACACGTTTGATCGAATAACTATTTTTAGCTCACGTAACAAAATGTCCGTTTTATTGCAGTAATGCCCCAATCATTTCAGCTTACGGTTTTTTGACATTTGATTATTGTGACGTCGTTGCCATATAGGAACTACGTACAACCAGGTGACAAACTACTTGATGATTGTCAAACTTTCATTTTTCTCCAACTCAATTGATGGGCAACACTCATTCAAACTCACCTCCACGTCGCGCCCCACTACCTCGCGCTCATCCACCGATTTCGCGCACTCATGCAGCAAAGACAGATATCAGCACGCGACCTCAATCTCCCCTCCCTTCCTCTACTTCGACTGTCTCACCCTCGCAACCTCCAATATCCGATACAATAGACATACCCCCAGCTAAATTAATAGACGACTCGGTAGATTTTCAAAAGCTTGAGGAAGAGACTTTTAGTGGAACTGGGAGCTTAGCTTCTAGCTTTAACGAGAGCGACCTTTTAGCGGAAAGTATTGCTGGTGAGCCAACCAGTTACAAGAATAGTAATAAGATCGTACATGATTTCGGAGGTGTCAGTGCCTTAACCAGCGTTGACACAAAGGGTGAGTATTGGATTAGAATGTGCAGTGTATCGATCAAGATTTGATTAGAACGAAACAGAAACTCAAATTTTAAAACAACTAAATACAAGAGAATGAAATTATATTCGTGAATCTGGCCAAACTTGTAGCTCACATTTATTTATATCTTGCAAAGAATCAGATAAAGACAAGGGTATTCCAACGATTATAACTTGGAGTCAGGGAGGGAACAACGTTTGCGTGACGGGTACATTCAATGATTGGAAACACAACATTAGATTATGTAAAAGGTAACCAATGCGAATCCAACATCGAACAACAAATCAGAACGAACAGCATCAATTAGTAGTCTCATGAAAATACCAACAAATCATGTTTAATTTTAACCATTTTTTGTCACGTTTTCTGCGATTTTTTACGAGATCTCAAAACTAACGTTTTATTCTAATTCAGCACTAATGACTTTACAACAGTAATAAATCTTCCTCCTGGAACGCATAAATTAAAATTCATTGTCGACGACGAGTGGAAATGCTCGAACGATCTGGAGACGGCGACAGACTCAAATGGAGATCTGGTTAATTATCTCGAGGTGTTTGAAGAAGAAGAAAACGAAATATCGAATGATGAGTTGGACGTGGATGATCCGGGTGGGTGTTTGAGTAATTGTAGAGAGGAAAAGAGAATATGTGTTTTCTGTTGGTTGATATTTATAGCGCAATCTAATAACACGTATGATTAATAATCGCCAACGCAATTATCTCAACCGGCTACCACAGGTTTAAGATGTGGAACTCCACCAGGTGACTACTCGTCAAACATACCTGACTACTTATTAGCCTACGAACGTTCCCTAGTGGAATCTGACAATCCGGAGGACGATGACGCACCCGATGATTCACCGGATGCGGAAGAATGCAGGATAGACGCTCGACCACCCCTATTGCCGCCTCACTTGGAGCGCGTGATATTGAATTCGTCTTCGGTATCAAAGGACGACAATAGTAGTCTTCCGGTGCCTAACCATGTCGTTTTAAACCACTTATACGCTTGTTCTATACGAGACGGTGTCATGGCTGTTGCATCTACCACTCGATATCGAAAGAAGGTTTGTATGTAAATAGATGCAAGAGTTTATGTGGTGGTGGCATTCAACGGGGGGTGAAATATTGTTGGGAAAAGAGTGGATCAAACGAATACGCCAAATAATGCTTTTTGTCATATTTTTTAGTACGTGACGACAGTCTTGTACAAACCAGTATTTTCTTAACAAGAACAAACACATGAGGATAATGCGTAGACAAGTCTTTGACTATCGAAGGGGATGGGATTCATTATAGAAATCTTAGACAGTATTTGTGAACATGTGATAACGTGCCAGCAAATTGTATACTAGTGAAATTCTTCACAATGCATATTTTTCTTGATTCGTTTTGCTCTTACCAATATTGTAATTTAATTCTGAACTAATATTCGTGGCAAAACTGTAAATAAAGTATAAATGCACTGACGACACGTGACATCCTCAATACACGTGATTTGGACAAATTGTTATTATTATTATTGACGCAAGCTTTACTCTTATTATTCACACCATCTTTCCATGCTCACTGCCTAGGATGACATCGTCAGCATCTGATGAAGACATTTGGGCAGATGATACGGAATTGTCTAATGTATCTTATGACAGAGAGATAACATCCCGTCAATGGAGGAGAATGGGCGAAGAGTTTGGAAATGTGAGTTACGTACCTGTCAAGTTAATTTAAAATGTGTGTACTATTTTCTTATGAGGCTTTCTACAATTAGATGGGGTATAGGGAAGGAATAGAAGAAGGAAAGGAAGTCACAATGCAGGAAGGGTTTAATCAGGGATTTATAGAGGGTGCCAGATTTGGAAGGGAATTTGGAAGATTGCGAGGGTATCTAAGGTAGTATGGGACATTGCGCGAAAGAGAATTTTATGATTTGGTGAGTGCACATATGTATTGACTCTGACGTTGATGACCACTAGTACTCTCATAGAAATCTGTTCGAACCCAACAAATGATTCCGCTTCCATGAATTCTTTGTCGCCACAATCACTGAAAAATCTGCAAGATTTAGAACGGGAGCTTTCAGATATAACAGCGGATAAAACATTTACCAAAGACTATTTTGTTCAGGTATCACCAGAAAAAGCCAAGAAATGTGAATGCAAGAATGGTTCAGAAGATGGTGAATTAGAGAATAGTAACGGAGATGGCCGTGATAAGGATAAAGCAATTTCGGATGCCATACAAGTCCCAGTACGAGATAATGATGCTGAGAAGCTGTTGGCAGAATACACAAGAAGAGTTGAGAACGTGCTTAAAGAATTTGGAATTGAAATGTAAATCATAATAAGAATGCGATAGCGAACGAATTGCTATAAACTTTCACAATACGAGAATTAGAAAAAAAAGTATTTATAGTCGTTGCGTTTGTTCCGAATGCAAGACACACCAGCTAATTAATTGAGATTGGCTTATGCCTCGAAGAGATTTGTTTTGTTGAGAAATTTGACTACTATTATTATTGTTACTATGTTTTCAGACATTCTCATAAGCTAGTAGTACAAAGAGAACATTTTGTTTGCTTTTACTACGAGATATTGTTACTATCAGCATGTTAAATCCGCAGCATTGACTCATTAAAGCTCCTCATTAGACATGACAAAAGCCCAAATAATTATGATTCCTGTGACAGTAATCAAACGATCTTGTTTGTTTTCTTAAAAAAGGCAAATAAAAGAGATGGGCGTTCAACAATATTGAACCCTTGACATACCTTCCGTCCCCTGTCATTCATAAATTCCATTATTGGCTGATAAGTGTCACACAATAACTAGTATTGAAACGATTTACCAAACCACTAAAGCCTCATTTATATTTTACATCGTTTATTTGACACGATGTCTCAACCCGAGCCGCAAACCATTCTAACGGCGGCAACTACCACTGTTGCTACCACTAGTACCGGTACCGGTACCAGCACCACTACCACTACTACTACCGTCACGACTACAGCTATAAGAAGTTCTCTCGATAAATCTTTACCTCCACCACCTGCATCTGCTACTTCCTCACCCACACAGCCTGCAGACGAATCTAGTAAAACTAATGAACAATCTAATGGAGAAACAAAAGACGGTTTAGAAAAACCAGGAGAGGAAGATAAGAATATTACCCTGACTTTGCTACTGATCTCTGGAAAGAAGCATACTTTTACGTTTGACCCAAATGAGACCATAAAGACTGTAAAAGACAGAGTCTTTGACACATGGCCAATAGGTAAGCAAAATATTTGAACGCGAGGAGAATGTGGCGAGAGGAGTTTCGGTATAGTAAAAATTAGTAGATCGAAGAAGGAAAAGAATTCGCCGGGTGCATTGATACTATGAAACTTTACGGTATGGTCAAAGATCAACTGCCAATGTTTTTCTGTATTGACCGTATTCCGTTCCTTCTCGACATTGAATTTATTATTTTATTCAAATCTCCAATGAAATGATCTCGAATTACTGATATAATTGTAATTCACTTTCTAAATTTAGAGTGGTCCGATGAGAGGCCGCCGTTATCGGCATCAAATCTAAGAATTCTGTATATGGGCAAATTCTTGAACGATGACACAACCCTGAAATGTAAGATCGACTGTTGCATAATTTGGAGCAGAGTTTAATAGGAAAGATCATGAAATTGTATATTTTTCTTCTCGGTAATACGTTCTTTTCCTATAGCCAATAAAATAGAACCTGGCCAAGATACGACTGCTCATTTGACAATAAAAGATATTTCTCCACCCGAGGATGAAGGTAAGTGGTTAAGCTGGATATGCATAGTATGCAAGAATTCAATGTCAAAGAAAAAGAATTCCGAGAAAATGTTGTGCTTTGTTTACTTATCTTTATATAAATTTTCTAACAAACACTTAATATTTTATTGTTGTATCAGAACGGGAGACAACAGATGCACCAAAGTGTTCCTGTTCGTGCTTAATTCTGTAAACTATTCAAGTTCGAAAATGTTTCGGATCCCATTTGCTGCCATCTTTCACAAAACAACTTATACGTGCATTATTAATTTACCAACATTTAATTAGACACACACTCAATTGGACATCATTCTTATATTTCTGTTAACACTCATTCACTTTGGGGTCTATCCCCCCAACATACTATCCAAGAGACTATTGCAAAGAACATTTATTTTCTAATTTCATTTGTTTTGATTTCTTCATTCTTCTCGTTACTGTAGAGAATGCGAATTATTTTTATGTTAATAACGTGTATTTATTTAATGTTTAGATTATTAAGACTTGTTTGTATTTTACTAACGTTTGCTTTCTAATGCGAATAAAGCCTTAGTCATTTATAGTTCGAAGAAATGCATCGCGTTCACATATTTAATATGATCCAAGAGTGGAACACGCTCGCAACTTTTGCAAGGACAAACGTCAAGTTCTTCCGCCACGTCGGATAACAATAACCGTAAACGCAATATTAATTAACTTAATCTTAAAACCGAATTAAGTTTACGTGTATTTAACGTTCACTTTATTAACTCATGAATGATATAATAAGCACAAGATACATAAGGCCAGGCCCATTTAATAAAATAAATTTTATCCATTTCAATTTATAAATAAATTAAATTCTTCCTAAATTCCTTGCCTCTAAAGATCCTCATCGTCCCAAATAAAATCGTCCATGTTCTCACTGGCTTCATGCAGTTGGGACAAACCCGTCAGTTCCTCCAAATATGAAGGAGAATTGAATGCACTCTTCAGGAATTCAAATCCATTGACGTTATACTCTTTTAATACTCTCTCCGAACATGCAGTACACTTGTCATAAGCTTGGCCAACAATGATCATATTATTGAATTCAGCAAGAAATCCTCGCATTTGGTGAGGTATAATTCCAAGTGGGGTTGATGAAGATTTAGACTGTGACGCAGCGGTATCCGCAGGTGCAGCAGGTCTAGTGAATAAGTACTTAGTTTAGAGAATACATCATTAAAGTCAACATCAACCAACTTAATATTTGTCCTTACCCTTTCTCATGATGCAATACCGAAATCATTAACTCTACAGCCATGGCACTAGCAATAGCTGATAATCCAGGACGAGTGACAGTGCATTGTTGATCAAGAGTACGATCTTTGAGCGAGTCTGTCGGTGCCACAACATCGTTGCAAAAGTAGCAACCAAGACGCTTTACGTGAGGTAAATTAGTTCCATCATAACCAATAGCTGGAGTTTGATTTTCATCATCATCAACACCATGCCTCATTACAAGATATGTGTCAAATCCCAAGGCTGTATTAATAACTAGCTGCAAAGTAATATTATAAATCAGAAAACTTGATGAAAAACGCGAAATAAAATGCACAGAACACACCTTTTTCATGCTCGCTCCTAATAGAGTAGGAAGCCATCTACTTTCTCTACTATCCATTAGTAGAAAAATCACATCATGAGTTTCAATGAGCTGAGTCAATTTTTCAACATCAGCACGCGTTTGCGCTTCATTGGTAATTGGATGTCCTGGCATTGGCACGTTGAGATGGTATCCTTCAGCATTCTGTTTACAGGTTAAAAAGTCCAGTAAGCACAAACGTTGGTTTTGGTTCAATAATCATAAACAAATATATTATTACACTTACAACTCCAGGGTAAACTGTCTTCAGATTCTCGGCAGCAGTTTTAGCTTTTGGCTTCCCGCCATTCAAACAATCTTCAAACGCGTATAAAGACTGCCTCACAGGATTTGAAAATGACACTCGAGAATTGTCAACAAATGTAATGTTGCGTACTCCCCATCCCTAGAGTTAATCAAAAGTCATAAATCAGTCTGCCTCTTATTATATGGCCATCGTGATAACATTTCTTTTTCATTCAAACCGTTTACCTACCAAAAGGTTCCTAGCAACATAACACCCCAAAGTACCAGCCCCCAATAATAGACATTTTGTATCCTTAATTTTCTCTAATTGGAGGTCAGGAACTATTCGCCATCGCATCAGTTTGAGATTGAGATCAACTGATGTATCTGCAAGCCTAGTTATGAGAACACATTTAAGTCATATTGTTTTCTTGCAAAAGATTAGGATTAATAGTGCGGTATGACTTACTGCTTGGGGTCCATCAAAGGAGCCAGATCAGCCGTGCGAGGTCCCAGTTTGCCCTGCGGATTTTTCTCCCATCCCACAGCTTTCGGGGTTTCATCTGATATTCGCATATTTTTAGAAATTAGTTATGCAATCGCCAAAAAACTCTCAAACATAAAATTGTTGTGTCAGCAGCAATTCTTCAGACTTGGCATGCATTATCGCAACTTTATATGTTATTGGCGTATCTGACCTGCGGATATAGACTCGGGCAACTTGACCTTCAAAAAAATACTTTGCGAGATATCTTTCTTTCCAGGAATTTCTCGAAAACAGAATACCTTTATTTGTTTAACGCGCCACTGATGTTGAAGCAGTACTAAAAAATTACGAAGAGGCCAACCGGGATTTGCTGGCATACTTGACGGATCAGCAAACCCTACAATCCTCTATTGACAAAATAAAGATAAATAATTGATCGAATATCAAAATTTTAAACATGCACATATAATAGTTAAAAGCACCTCATTCTGATCTACACCTTCAAAGAAGGAATTCCACTCCTGTAGCCTGCCAACTGCAAATTCTTTCTTATCATCCCCACCCTCAATCTTTTTTTTGATCAAAAAGAATGCAGCGTTCCCATCAGTTTGTTCTTGCCTATAAGTATCGTACGCCACTCTCAGCTTCTCCAACTAGACGTTGAATACAAATTAATATTGTTCCTCCTTGATAGCTTCCGGCAAACATAAAGATCACAACAGCTAACCTCATCAGCATCCCAAACCTCCGTAACACTCCTTGGTCCCCCTTGATCAGCCAGCGCACATGGAGGATCAGCCAAAAGAGCGGGGAAAGCAAACCAAAAGTGAAATTTGTATTTTTTTAGATCCGCAAAGGTGATGAGCAGAAAACGTGTTAGAAGGTGTGGCTGAGTAACAGCATCACCAGAGACAATGTCTTGCCAAATCTTGGAGAAAATTTTGCAAGTCAGCGTGTTTACAAATTGGAGCAGCAAGTGCAATTGAACACGGAATCAATTAATCGCAGAGCATCTTACTTGATCCGCGACTCTTTTGAACAATGCAGTCTTGTCAAATTGTTTGAATTCTTCGATAGTGTTTGTGTTTTTTATTTGACCCACTGACGGATAAGAAAAGGGTGGGATACCACTATACATGTTCAAAACAATAAAGAATAGCAAATCAGATAATACCTTGGTCAAACGGCTTCATGCAGCGTCATTCTTGCCACTAATCGATACAGCTTTCTCACCGTAAAGATGACTCATTTCGAAAAAAGGCATTAGAACCAAGACATAACCGCGCTGGCATCGATATAGCAGCTTCACCCGCGTCTCGACTCACATAGTTGCCCGTTGAGTAATAACCCAAGACATCTTTAAGATCGTCGTCCAACTTGTAAACGTCTATTTTCTGTGTGGTTAACGCGTGCCAAAACGTTGCTTCAACAGCCGAGGAGAAGGGTGCAAACCGCAAAATATCGTCCGCAGACATGACGAACGCGTAGTCGAGAGGTAGATCAATAATACATTCCACAACTGCGCAAACTTAATTTAAAGAATTTACAGTTGTAGCACAAAGTGTATAAAGCACAGAATGGTCGATCACCGGTATTAATAATTTTCTTTTTCCTGTTCTCAATGCGAAATATCATAATATTTGGTGGATCTTCACACCCAAAACTAGCCGAGCAGATAGCAGGTCGATTAGGAGTGTCTCTCGGCCGCGTAGAGCTTTCTAAATTCTCCAATAAAGAGACAAATGTCGAGATCCGAGAGAGTGTTCGAGAAAAAGATGTCTACATTGTTCAGTCAGGCTGTGGACACGTTAACGACAATTTTATGGAACTCTTGATCATGATCTCGGCATGCAAAATAGCGTCTGCCGCCAAAGTTACGGCTGTAATTCCATGTTTTCCGTATGCACGACAACCGGATGCACCCTACAAGAGAAATGGAGAACCATTATCAAGAATTCCCAGGGATAAATTCCTCGGATATACGTTTGATACGCCTCCGAATTTGTCTACAGCTACTACTCCTATGGATGAAGGGAAAGACCCATTCAACGCAACGTCGAGCAAAATCGGTGAAGAAAATTCGACCTGCTCTGATGCAGACTCTATTAATGAATTAAGACACTATAATAGCACTATGATGTCCTCTTCCTCTTCCTCAGGAAAGTCTGGAGCTTATCGACATTGGGTTGCACGATCAGGGACATTGATTGCCAATCTGTTGACTTGCGCAGGTGTGTAAATGATCAAGCGAGGAAGAACGATCTGGCAGTAAAAATCATCGCATAACGCCTAATGATCTGTATTTGATAGGCGCTGATCATATTATGACTATGGACCTTCATGACCCGCAATTTCAAGGATACTTTGACGTTCCTGTTGATAATCTGTATGGGCTTCCCTTAATGATCAAGTATATTAGGGAGAATATTCCTAGTTGGGAAAGTGCAGTGATTGTCTCACCTGATGCTGGTGGAGCAAAGAGGTGAGTACAGAATATGGTTTGAAAATTTTGGTTTAAATAATTACTTACGATTTTCTGCTACAGAGCTACTGCAATAGCTGATAAGCTTCGTGTGGAATTCGCGCTTATTCACAAGGAACGCCGACTTCAACATAAACCACACAAGGCGGATATGATGTTAGTTGGACAGGTCAGAGATAAAGTGTGCATAATGATTGATGATATCGCAGACACGTCAATTACCATAACGAGGGCAGCCAAAGTTTTAGTCGAGAATGGAGCAAAGAAAGTGTACGCCATTATAACCCATGCGATTATGAGTGGTGATGCTATCAAGCGCATTCAGCAGAGTGCTATTGATCAGGTTATCGTGAGCGATAGTATACCTCAGGACGAACATTTGGTCCAATGTTCAAAGATAAAGGTGTTTGAGATTGCTCCGATTTTTGCAGAGGCGATAAGAAGAGTGCACAATGGGGAAAGTGTCAGTGCACTATTTAATGATAGAACGATGTTGTTAGTGTGAACGAACGGTATACGATTGAGTGGTAAGAACGCGTAAGTGGAGGTATACCCCGCAAGCTGATCTATCAATTTCGTACTGTAACCGATAAGAAGAGGATATGAAAAATACATCAGCTTGGGCATATTATCGTATATCTGTGCATGTCGATGTATATTGTTTCTTGAGTTATACATTTTGCATATTGGCATTTCGCAGTGATTGTTTGCAGTATTTGGATTAAGAAACGTGCAACGCCTAGTTCAGGATACGTAGACCAGTTTTCACTTATTTAGCTTATGCATGCAGTAGTCGAATATGGGCAAGGAATTCTCTTTCGGAGGAAAGTATAAAATCGAATAAAAGTTACAAACTTTCTCCTCCTCGCAATTGCCAAGTAATTAAAAGAGAAAACATTATAGCAGTAAACCCGACCTTCTCTCGGCACTCTTGTTTGAATTGTTTTGACTACGCTGAACAATTTATTCCTTCAAAAGTCTCAAATATTATGCCATCTATTCTAATGTAACGAATATACGACTCTCGACGTTTTAATTCTTCCAATTCCATCTAATTAAGGCATGCATATATGGTTGTAATACTCTTCTAGACGATTTTCGACTTTACGTAATCCATCTCATTTTGTTTGGTCCTCGTGCCTCAAAATCAGCGACCATCCCGCGAGCGGACTAACCGCGCCAATGTAAGTTCGTAAAAGTAAACGAGGAAAGTTGTATCCTGAAGGATGGAAAACTTTCGTCCGTATACATGTTCAAAGTACGTTGCGTAGTACGCGCTCACTTGCGCATGGATCGCGCTGCGAGCACTCGTTCTTGAATTCCAAAATGGTTAACAATACACATCGTCCACCCAGACGCCATCACTCTGTTGCCCTAACGTGTACGATTCGTTAGTGACCTTAATGTTACCCATAGTCAAAACGACGAACAAGTCGAGAGTGAAGGAAAGAATGTATAAGTTTGTTTTCTTTTAGTCGACGATTTTGACGTTGCAAATGGATTGCTGCTTTATAAGAATTTCAGCGACAAACTTTTTTGGGATGGCACATTGTGTCACTGACAAAGATGTCGCTCATAGTCCATAGCAGGTCACAAACCAAGTTCTTGTCGTCCGCTGATGTTTGGTAATACTCGCAATTTCTAAACAATTCCAATCGAATGATACAAGACGATTAGTACGTCGAAATTCTTTGGAGATCAGCAGTTCAACAGCGGTGGATCAATTTCATTCTTGCCAGGTAATTAGAAAATGAATCACCTCTACTCCACGCCCCAACGCCGAATCACGAAGTCGTTACCTGTCCCTCTAGTCAATCTTCCCTTCGACAACTTATCCTCCGTCTTTCTCCGCGCCCAACCGCTTCTTTGCATCGTTCAATTGTTGTCAGGCGTTTGCGTGATCTATTTTATGTCATACGTAACCAATCAAATGCTAACCCTCTATATATGCTATTAAAATATAACCAAGTCGCTTTACAATTTACTTAATGATGTCTTAGCCACCTGTAAAAGAAAAGTTTTATTAAGCGGGAAAGAAAAACATGGATACTTCTTTCTCTTGGCCAGCGCAAGCCCAAAACTTGATATAATCGAGTTGATCAATATCAAAACTATCGCATGCAGCAAAGATCAAAGCATGTGACAATTCGGTATTGTATAATGTTTTCGTTTGTTTTTGTTTGATATCTGGGGCAATCGTTCTGTGAGTTTTCAGTTCAAGTAGCGGATTTCAAGTCTGAAAGCAACCTTAATAAGAGACTCTGTGCCGTACTCATAAGACAAGAAAATGCTCTCTAATTTCAAAACTGTGTTGATATGCAAACATTCTCGCGAGATGTCAAATTTTAATTAAACCTTCCTAAAAACGTTAATGATATGATGTACCCCTGCAGATAGTTGGTCGGAAATCAGCGGAGATGATATTTGCTAAGAAATCAAATTCACCTTTTATTCCCACCAACGTTGATATGCGAACGCCAGACGATAAAATGGGGCCTTTTAGAAAATCAGTGATATTAATATAGAATCAGAAATAGTCTTTTTAACTTTTATAGTCGTGGATGAAGTAATATCTATCTTTAGTGCACTGCAGCCCTTTGGTCACTTGACGATAAACATAAATCTTGTGCGCCCTTAAACCGTGATGGATAAAAGGTTTCATCTAACTGATCACGCCACTTGTTATCTTCTCGAGAACGGTTACCCCTTTCTTTCCTGAATAACGTATTTGCTGCCAAAACAAAATACAGAGAAGAATGTCTGTCAACGTTCCTGGCTTCAAATCGTCTGCCGTCTTCGAACAGATTGAGAAGGCGCTTCAAAGTGAAACCGTTAAAAAGGACACCATTAATAAGGTTAGTCAGGCGAATACGTGTATGAAGGCCGTAAAATAAATTCAAAGCAGTTTGGTCACGGTATACATCCAAATAGACGAGTCACTATTGGAATGCTCAATGTCAAAACTAGCTGTATGTGCTAATATCTTTTTTGTTCGAATTTTATAGACAAAAGGTGTTTTTGAACTTAATATTAAAAACGCAGAGGGTAAAGAACAAATATGGGCTCTAGATCTTAAAAAAGAGGGGACAATCAAAACTGGCAAGGCTGCTAAAGCAGATTGTACGATTAGAATGGATGACGCTGTATTTATTGAAATAGCATCAGGCAAATTGAACGGTAAGATATTAAGCAGACAAACGATCTTGAATGTTAGGCACAGTTTTCGCTTTCTCTGCTTTAACATTCGAATTCTCTTTTCTTTGTCATCCAATAGCCCAGAAAGCATTCATGACCGGAAAAATGAAGATCACAGGAAACATCATGCTTTCCACAAAATTAAACAACGTTCTTGTACTTGCACAACCATCAAAGGCCAAGTTATAAAAGATATACCAAGGATGCAATAAATATAGCATCTAAGAATGCCAAACGTCAAATAGTACGCAATACTTGGTTTACTGAAACAGATAGTTTAATCATGTAAACTACACTTATTCTTTCTGACTGTATCTCATAGACTGGATATAATAAATACGTTTAAAATCGGATTACTTATGCGAGTGAAAGGGTTAATTGTCTAATACATTAACGTCTTGACCAGAACTTTTATACTCTACTGTAACAGCCATTTAATACAATACTTTCAACTATGTAGGCTTGCCAATTGTTTCTGGGAGACAGACTCGATTGCCAGACGCATAGAATTGAAGCGTTTGAATATTATTCTAAACATTATTTGTTCTTGTCATTATCGTGGGAAGCGTATGTTGACAGCATTAATGAGCGGTTTGATAATTTATCGGTCATTGAAAGAGTGGAAAATTACGCGTGAAGGGCAATACAGACTAAATTCAATTATAATTATGCCAAGACTTAAATTATGTAGAGCATTTTATATTGCAATTTCGCGTTCTTTATATGTAATCGTATTGAGCATGCACAGACACAGGCTAATGGCATTTTAAATCAATTACAGGATAGCAAACTGTATATTGAGAAAACAATCTCTTCGAGAAGGTACAAATCGCTGAAAAGATAAGGCGTATGTGGTTAAAGCATTTTGTTATATCCCACTACTACGTAGACATTTCTAGCCGATATAACGGACGGTCAATACGAATTTGTTTACCAAATAATATGGGGCAGACTGCAACAAAACCAGACAAAGTGAACATTTGATTATGTGACATAAATGAGAGGCTGATTATGATGTGGCTTAAAGTTGACCAGGGTGACTGATGACATTTCGGAAAGTAATAATGTTGCTCATTCATAACTTATGGGACTTGTTAAATTTAATGTTCCATTTATTATACCAGAATGTGATGAATATAAACCATAACAGGATTAATATAGGATTACCTCTATATATAAAAATATTAATATGAAACTAATTTACATTAAATCCACTATGGAATCAAAGAATTACAGCACTATTAGAAGTATAAGTATTTTAAAAAAAAAAAACCAATTATTTCTTTAATTTCAATCAAGGTTATCTCTTATTTTCTTTAACTTCAATTTGAGCAATGTGTTGAGTCTGCTGTTTTCTTAAGAATTCAACCTCACTTTCAAGTCTTTGAATTTTATCCAATAATTCTTGCTTTTGTTTATCATGTCAATCCTCTGAAATATCTAGTGAGAACCAATTTCTTCCTTGGCACTGTCTAATTGCTGTTTTAAATCCTTGTTTTGTTGTTCCAATATACCAACATAACTTTGTCCCATTATTATTATCTCAGCTACTGAAAGGGTTTATTTTTTCTTAAATCACAAAAGCAATTTACCCTGTTTCTCATAGCTCGACCACATATTATTTAACCTCTTTGCGATTGTTTTGCTCAAATTTTGCTTTGCATACCAAGAAAGTACTCACTCATTACAAAACAGTGATAAATTCTCTTACTGTAATAAATATTCTTCGCCTGTCTTACAGGTTAATATTAAGCTTAAATGGAAAGAAATATTTATTGATAATTTACTGTTAATGTATTCCTCAGCAATTGCGAGCAGCTAACGTAAATATCACGTTACGTGACCCAATAATATAATCGCGTCTGCTACTGAGGCGCCCAAAAATTCCACTTTCCTTAAGGATGTTAAGAAAATTGCAAAATTAAAAATCGCTTCCCAACGTGCTTTTCTACGTTAGGCATGCAGAAATTATTGCTTTTCTAGCAATAAAGTGTATTGTCTCTAGATCAGTAGATATTTGTCAAAACATTCGACTATTTATTATATTAGGCCTACTTGCGTCTTAAAGGTGGACCATTACTGCGTGCGAATAAATATGCAACATAATAATACAGTATTTAACAAAAAGGAATATCTTTAAATCACTGTTACTCAGTTCAATTTTTATTCCTGGTTAAAGACAAGTTAAACCCCAAAAATTTTATTGAATTGTTTATTATTCTATGGACTTGCCATGCACTTAATAATCAAATCATAAGAGTCATTTTTAGTATATTTGATATTATAATCATCACTATTTGCAACTTATTT